AAAAAAAAAAATAAGAAAATAAGAAAGAGAACTTGCCCAACGCGGTGCTCCCTCCCTACGAGAGCCCTTATTTAAACACTGGCATGTCCGTGATATAACACGACATAACGCGTTTCATTGAGTTCATTTCTTGATATGCCGACATTGTGATAGGTGGTCCCCCCCCCCAACTACATTTTCACCCTGATTTTGATTAAGGAGAGGGCCCATAGGGAGGACTGGAGAACTTGGCTGATGCTCTCGAAATATCGGAATCAAAACGTTCGCCCGACCAAGTAGTCCTATGAAGTGAAATCCTCGGAACTGATTATTTTGAAGTTGTTGCTGGTCCAAAATGTCGTATGAAGTGAACGATGCGATATCAGTAGCTACTCCAGTGTTTTGCATAGGGAAAATGAGTAGTACTTCATCATTATAACTAGCGGTTCTCCACTTCGACTCTAGAGTTCCACAACTCTGTGGAAACCTGACCAGTAGTCCGTGGTGTCTACTGGTCTACAGCTATTTATATAGCAAACGAGTAGCTCTCCTAAGCTGAATACAGCTTCAACTGTTTCTACTTATAATCTTCCTGTCAAAAGTCTTCAAATCAGAAAGGGATTATTCTAATATTTGTACTGATCCAACAGTTTATTACTTTTTACCAGACAAAGTATCTTTGGTGTCCTCTTCATATAATTTAAGACCTTCGCTTTCAGAACTCTCTCAGCACTGAAAAAAATCAATTATGCTTGCATTGTAAGTGAAAGAGTGATTCGACCACCCGGATCGCTGCTCGGGAACTACTGTATGCAGGTAGATAGAGGGATATGAACCCCACCCAAATTGGGAAACGAAAATGGTAATCTCTAAGCTACGAACCTAAAACGCTTCGTTGGAATAGAAGGGCATCAAGGGAAGTAAAGTTTGTAGCGGTGCCCCCTTTGGTATGCTCAACAAAAGGGAAAGTTTGTTTCGCCTCATTCTTTCTAGTCCAAGCTAGCCTTTTTAAAGTTCCTGATGCTCTAAAAAAACCAAAAATTTTTCGTTAGGAAATACCCTGGTCGTCCTCTGAAAACAATTAAGAAAATCCTTCATCACTGCTCCTTCGACATTAAAAAAATTCAATTTCACATGCAACTGGATTGAAAAACGGTTTGACCACCGGATTCGATTCGTAAGAACTACGGTGCTCAGGCAAATGCGCGAATTTGAATCCCTCCCGTAGGATATGCTAACCTTAAAGCAAATTATTTTAAAGCCTCTCTGAAAAGGACGTCTTTTTGGAGCTAAGCACAAAGTAAAGGTCATCTCACTGCTACCAAAAGATTTTTTTTGGACATCGTTTACTTCCCCTGTTGAACTTTTTACCAGTATGAAAGGTCTGCCAGCAACTACAGTCAAGAGGCTGCCAGTGCAGAAGGGCTGTGTCCTATTGGCCCCTTTACAAATATCGAAAAATGGTTTACTCAATTTGTCCATTTCAGGAGATGATGAACCTTTACAGTAATGAAAATTGCTTGGCACGACTCGGTTGGAATAAGTTAATGACGGTCATAGTACGAGAAATGAAAAGAGGTAAGATTGAGTGGTAGCATAAACAAATAAAAAGATGTGCCATTAAAAGTGTTTACAGGTTTTCTGGAAGAAGCCATGCGTAATTGCAAAGAAGAAGACAACAA